CAAGCTTGACCTAAAGACCTCCTGGCCATGGGGGCCACAGGCCACCCTTGGGCCTCAGCCCAGAGGAAAGCACTGTCACCAATAGAGGGAAACGGGACACAGCGGGTGGCCAGGGTCATGGGTAGAATTCAAGGGGTCTGAGAAGTTAAGTGGGAAACAATTATGTCTTTGTTTTGCATGACCTCTAGTCCTTTAATTAGGAGCATTAAATGACCAGAATGTTCGCAATATCTGTGATTTTATCTCCAAGAGAAGCCACAGATGTTTTCATCTCACGAGTGGTCGCAGGCACTTCAGAATACCGTTCTGCTCCTCTCTGAAATTGCAGGGCAGCACAGACCTGCTCTGAGATCTTGTACATCAATAAGGAAGCACATGCTGAGCTCCATCACGCATTTGTTTCTGAGTAGTGTAATAACTGTGTTTCAGTGTTGATTTCTTTAATATGTCATTTTGTGTATTTGAAAACATTATTCTGAGAAAAGTCCCCAACCTTGACCAGAGCTAAAGACACCATGGGCCGGAAAATGGTCAAGAGCTCGGTGGGGTGGAGAGGGGGGTGGGCTGCCCTCTGCAGGCCCCCTGTGGGCCTTGGGCTGCTCCTGACCCTCTTTCATTTAGTCACCCACGTTCATGTTTATTTTCATGCCACAGTCACAGACCCTCCCCTGTGACCCTCTTCTTAACCAGTGGTTTCTCCCCCATCAGGCAATGTTTACAAGTTCCAGACTGGCTCTCGGTTCCATGCAATCCTGTGGCACAAGCATTTGGATGATGCATGTAAAAGCAACAGGCCTCAGGTAAAGTCCCCAAAATCCTACTCGTCACATGAAATACCCTCTCCCACCTTTGCGACAGGGCCCCTGCCTTCTGTCAGAGCCTGTCAGCTAAGTTCCCAGATACCCTCTTTTGATCAGCCTTTTCCCATGATTGAGGGCACCTGCTGCGTGGCTGAGAGCAGAGCCCGGCTTCAGACCGGAACTTTGCGTCTGGTCCCTGTGTTAGGTGGCAGGTGCCATATTGCCCCACAGTTCAGGCCACAGCATTTATTTAACCATCCCCCCCAAAGTTGGTTCATGGGAATATGCCAAACTGACTAACAGGCCTCCTGCCCCCCACCACCCATAGGAATAATAACAGTTAATGTATCGAGAGCCAACCATGGCTGCTGACGAATAGGACCCTGGTCTGCTGGGCCCGGCTTGTGGCTCAGCTCCCTCCCCCACCACAGCCGCTGCACCCAGGACCAGGTGTTACGCAAAATGCTTCACGTGCAGGAACCGGCTCAGTCCTCTCAACATCCCTGTGAGGTCGGTTCTCTTACCGTCTCCATTTTACACTGAGGACACTGACGCTCAAGAAGTGGCAGCCACTTGTTTAAGGTCCCACGATTGGTGTGCGTCTGCCCCACAGCGAAGCCTGCATGTCGTGCCCCTGAGCTGTCCCACCTCACACCTCCCAGGGAACCCCTCCCTGGCTTGCTTATCCTCCTGCAGTTGAGCTAAGGGCCTCAAAGCACAGCCTCTGCCACCAGGCTTGTGAGAGGAATGGCTGCCCCCTCAGCACAGAAGGGGCAGGCTGGGGCTTCCTCACCCCGGGAGGCAGGTGGGCAGCATTTGCGCTGCTGGTGCCGGGGCTGATGCTCCTGTCCCTAAGGCACCTGGGATCAGCCAGGAGCGGGAGCTTGGGAGCTGGGTTCCTCTCAGTCTGGGGAGAGCTTGGAATAGATGGGGAAGCTTCGAGGAGGAAGGGTGGGTGGGAGCAGATGGGAAGCAGCAGCCCCAAAGTCTGAGGGGATCTCAGCAAAGGCCAGTTCACACCAGGCATGTGTCCGGGAGGTGAGGGACATCAGTTTTGCTGGTCACAGCACAGTCACAGACTTCTCGGCCCCTCAGAGCAGTTCTCGTAAGCGGGAGGGAGGTGTGGTGGCATGTCCCATGATTCTGTGCTTGTCTGTTCCTGTTCAGGATTTTCATCTGTAACGTAGATGAGGACATATATGACAAGCTGGTCCGATTCTAGCTGATAAGAAACTAGAAAGCAGACTTGGCAGGAAATCCCTGACAAACTAAACTGTAGGACGAGACCAAGATGGGTAAACTTCAGGTAGCACAGGGAAGCTCAAAATAAGCTGCATTCGGTCCCTCGACTCACCTGTCTGCCGGCTAGGAACGTGTCCAAGGCACATGCTCACACACGCACACAAGGCACTGTCCTTGACAGAAAAAGAGACCCGGAAACTTCGGGGACCTTCATTCAGTCCCTGTTGTGCCACACCTGACAGCAGTCAGGAAGACAGAGGCAGGACTGCGTGAGAGCACTGGAAGGGTCTAAGTGAGAAAGCGAAGTGTAAAAACATATGTAAGGACAGCCTCGTTTGTATTAAGATTCATATGCACATTTATCACTTGTGTGCTTGTGCCTATAAAATTCCCAAAATGATAGACAAGAAACTGTAACCAGTTTCTTAGAGTGCTTGCGTATATTCTTCACATGATGGGAAGAGCAGGGGTTTTGATGGGCAGTCACCCCAAGACGATGCAAAGTAAACAAGGTATCAGGGTTTGAACAAAGCTGGCGCCACCTCAGGTCCCTCAAGAGAGGAAGAATGTCCTGACCTCCTCTGCACTGGTCACACAGTGTGTGTGTGTAGGGGGGGCGGGCTCATTAGCTCTGAGTGCCACTCTTGGAGCACAGAGCACTGGAACTCACCTGCTATACACAGGTGGCCCCGTGACCTGTGAGCAGTTGGCTGGGGTGGCTTGGGGTCTGACAGTGACTGACAGCCCTGAGAAGGGCCACCAGGATAGTGGGGGGTTGGGGGGGGAGAAGAGGGCCTGGCGTCTGCCCATGACAACGGCCTTGGCACTGTGGCAGCCCCAGCCAGGATCACTGATGGTTCCTCTGAGCAAGAGCCTGTTGTCCTCTGGGGGAGGTGGGGGGCGGCAGCCCAAGGGTGGCAGCAGGTCCACAGCAGGTCGCAGGGAACTGGGTCAGACCCATTTGGCGGAGCAGGTGTTTGGTCAGAAGGACCATTGCATTTCACGTGTGGCAAATGTGGGGTACCACGGCAAGGTTTTGCTACTTTTGTTTTCTTGTCCTACTTTTAGACCCAGGGGAAGGGGATCTTTTATTTCTCTACTCTTTCCCTTTTTTATTTCTAATTTACTGTCAACCAAATATCCCCGCTCTATGCTGTATGTTGTAAAAAGTGGGCAACAATGGACTATTCCACGCAGAGGGTTATTCCCTAAGCCCCGCCCAGCCATGATGACATACAAGGGGTGCCGTGAAAGGCGGTCAGAAACACATCTCCTCCCTTGGGAACCTCAGCGACTGAGATTAGGGTTTTTTTCGGGGAATTGTATTTCTTAAAATTACACTAACACTGAATACACTTAAAACCTCCTGACCCATAATCCCTCTCCTGCTTTGCTTGTAAAATGTTAGTGTGTGTATGGACTCCACAATGTAGTGTCAGGGGACGTTTGTTCAATGTTTTTTTTATCAATAGGACTATAACTGTCTATTTGCTTCTGTGACTTGCTTTTTTCCTACAGTTCTTAGGATTCATCTGTGTCCCTGTGTGTAACTTTCATTCATTTATTTATTTGGCCTGAGTTTTTATCAACTCTTCTGTTGGTGATCCTGAGAATGGTTTCCTGCGTTTTGCTTTTGAGACAATGCTGCTGTCACCATTATAACTGTCCCTTGGTGCAAGGAGAGGCATTGTCTCCAATCTATCACTGTGACCAAATTGACACCGACATGGATTTGTTTTTGATGAAATTACTTCTCATCAAATCTGCCACTTCCTGCCACCCCCAACACCCTCCTTGTACCCCTCCCGCTGGCTCCCCTTCCGAAGGCACCTGCCCTTCAGGGTCCATGTCCTCTCACTCCAAAAGCAGCTGTATTTTGACCCAGAGAGCGTGGCTGAGAGCGTGGGCTCTGCCTCAGCCCTGCCGCTTATGCACTGTGGGCTCTGCCTGTCTCAGCCTGTTCCCTCATCTTTATCATGGGGACACATCCAGCACCTGCCTCGTGGGATGGTTGTGAGGACTCAAGGACACAGTGCATGTGAAGCATTCAGAGCAGTGGCTGGCCCACAGAGGCCACTTAGCAAATGGCGGTGGTTATTATTACCGAGCCCTCTGCCCCCCCCCCCAGCCCGCTCATTCACAGACTAACAGGCAAGACCGGGTCCCTTCCCTTAGGGACTACCTCTTGTCCCCTTCCGAAAGGTTGGAACTTTCACAAAAGGCTAAGCTTTCTCTCCTAGGTACCTGCAAACCTTATGTCATTTGAATAAGTCTCTGCGGGACGTGGCGTGACTTCAGAGGCTTCTGGGAGCCCGGCCTGGGACTGGTGGTGATGCGCAGGTGCTGGGCACAGGCCGCTGGCCAGGGTGCTGGGAGACTCACAGCCAGACCCAAGGGGACATGGCCTGTGGCCTCGCAGTCCAGAGGGCCCCGCCGGCGGGGGCGGGCCGCACCACCACTCCCCAGGGACTGTCATGACTCATTCTGCAGCTACGCCCGCCCGCCTGCCCTCTCTGGGACCTCGTGCGTCCACCAGCTGCTGCTGCGACTAGAGAGCATTCGGCCCATGTCGGGTCCCCAGTGCTCACTCCTGCACAAGAGTGGACAGTGTTAACCTGCGTGAGGGGCCAGAGAGAAGGCACAGGCTGTGAACTGGCTTTTTACACCCCAAGTGCATGGGGTTGCCCGCCCACAGGGCGGCCTCAGATTTTGTACAACCCCCGAAGCGTCCTCTGCGTGTGCGTGCCGTATACGTGTGCTTGCGAGCGAGTGTGAACTCTTCGAGAAGCATGCATTTTGGCACAAGACTTGTGACATCACATATTTCATTGGCTTTGAGGCCCTGCTTTCACCTTAAGTGACAGCCTTGTCCACCAAGGAAGGTCAGAGAGCCCAGATCCCTCCTGTGTTAAGGGTCCCTCGCATTCTTTTACTGTAAACAAACAATGCCTTAAATTGTGTCTTGTTTTCTGTTCCTATGGGTGCTATTCATCTGGAAGGCTGCTCCCCGGGCCCACGTCCCTTCCAGGCCTTGTCGCTGTCGGCTCTCCTGAGACAGGCTTCAGGGCTGTGGGCCGGGCCCCTGGCCTGCCAGCTTCCTCCCAGCCCTGCTCACGAGGAGCCCGAGGCTCTTCTCTTCTCACCCCTCCCACCAGGCCAGGACGGGACGGCGTGACACTCCCCCCAGCTTCTCAGAAGCAGCTCGGAGGCCGCCATGCTCGTGGTGAATGGCTGCGCCAGCCTCCCCGCAGGCCAGGCTTCTGCTCCCGTCATCTCACCCCTCTGCCTCCACTGCCGGGCCAGGGCCCACTGGGCGTCCTGATGACACTGGGGAGCTGAGCCACGCTGAGGCCTTAAGCTCCCCCAGTCTTGCCCCCAAACCCAGTCACCAGCAAGTTTTCCATCATCCAAATCCAGGGGCACGATTGTTGATGACCATGGTGACCCGAGAGCAAAGCCCGGGGGAGTGAACGGCCCACGCTCTGCATTCAGTTAAGAGCTCTTCACATGAACAACGTCCCTTATCTGTCATTGTCATATTTTAAGTGACCTTTATTTTGCACAAATACATTTTTATTCAGAACAGTGGATAAAAATTCACTTTATTTATGGTAGCTTTATCACCATAGCTCCCCTCCCTGCCCCATCTCTCTCTCATCTGGGTGCCCTAAGTCTAAGAAGGAAACCCTAAAATGATTTTCTGAAAGAAGCTGAGTTTCTGGGTCCGTGTTGCTATCATGGTTTCAGGGCTCACACCGGTCAGACATCAAACCACCCCCAACAGTTCCTGGGCAAGATGTTTCAGAACAACATCTTAACCAGTGAACCATGACAGGTCAATCAGAAAGCTACTGAAGGACCCACCACTGTATGTTGATCAAATGGTGGCAACTGTCCTAAAAACTGGAATGAATGGGTGAGGAAAGGAGTTGTCATCAGGATCTTATTTTGTGGTCAAGCCTGACTGTGCTCACTCAATAACTGCCCCTGCTCTGGAGCAAGTTCTAGAATGCTCTCGTGCCAGGAGACACTCCAGATGGTAAAGTGGATGCCCCCAAACACTGGCCATTGGTGCTTTGCACGCCCACCTGCAGCCGGGGTCTGGATGCCGGCATCTGATTCACACCAACGACTCTTCAGAGTAGCCTCTGGAGGCTGAAAACGCCACCCACTCGAGACACCTCTCACCACAGCTGTGCAGTGTGAACGTTTTGACCTACATTCAACCGGATTCTACCTGTTAGCTTTTAAGTCTTAAATTTGGATGAACGTGCAACACCGAAACATCAGCTACTTGTTTTCCTTGTGCTTCTCCACTCTTCGACTGTCCTGGTTTTTCTCACATGAAATACTATAGATGTCAATCCAAAAACCTCTGAATTTCAGGCTGCACTAAATCAGATGATGTTCTGCCCTCTACAAAATGTTCGTCTCTCACAAATGTTCTCTTCTGAGCCTAATTTGAAAGAGCACATTCGCAGTTCTTTTCAAAGTGTTTACTAGTTCACTAGTTCAAAGTCTTTTCACTAATTGAGAAGGATCCCACACCCCCTCCTAGAAACCTTCTTAGCTTGGACTCTTGAAGAATCTGTTCAGACCTCATTGGCAAAGTCCCCGTAGAACTGGTAAGAGCCTTGAAGGTACCAGAGGAGTCCTGCAGACAAGGGGCTTGGGGCCGAGCGTGTGAATGAAGTTCACATTGTCTTCTCAGAGTTGGTTTGTCCCTCAAGCTGCAAGGCGGGGAGGGGGGGGGCAGGCACAGACCCCAAAGGGGGAGATCCATGGGTGGATTCTCACCCTGGAGGGAAGTGTTTCTGCTTTTTCCTCCTTGACTGTCCATAGTGCACAAATGTTTGTGAAACCATTGAAGATGAGATGTCGTGCATGCATATGCTGTACCTTTTGTTTTTATTTTTAAGCAAAAAGATCACGGCACCCCAAAAGGAAAGTTGTAGAATGCTGTCTACAAACTGGAGTAGGTAGCTGGTACCCCAAGAATAGCTCCCTCACGTCTTCCTGGGAGTAATTTCCACCCCTTTGAGTTGCACGTATTTTGTAATTCAAGGCCAGCCGATGTGCATTCTGACAAATGAAATATTTCCTGGAGGATTGATTGGATGGAGAACAGTAGAAATATTGTTCTGAGTGTGCCCAGTGAGAGAGTGGCCTCCGTTCTCTTCCCCGAAGCAGGCCGTTCGTCACACGGTCCTACTGTGGAATCTAAAGAGGAAGATACTTGAAGGGATTCTGTTTGGGAAAGAACCCGCTCTCTCTTGCCAACAGAATTTATAAAGCATTTTTTTCTTGCCAAGATGGCCAGTATTTCTTTCATCATCTTCCTCCCAACACCTGTATTTTTTAGGATGCCATTTTACAGGTGGAAAATGGTCCGTGAAAATGGGAAGCCATTGGCAAGCAGGGTCTGCTTTCATTCCACAAGTGGAGTTTAGAGCTCCCACCCATGTTACTGATGCTTCTAACCAGGAGAACGTTGCCAAAAACACAACCTAACTTATTAGTGACTTCATAAATGACTTTAATCAGTCCCACATCATACTGGCATGTTGGGTAATGTCATGCTTAAAAAAGAAAGAAAAAAATATGAGTCCCTTTGAAAGAACAAACTCTCTGCGCATAACCACCCATTCATTCATCCGCATCTCTAGTGAGTGCTTCCTGTGTGCTGGGCTCTATCCCGGATATCAGTGGCTGAGAACAAAACACACCTCATCCCTGCCCTGGAGGAGCTGACCACTCAATAAAGAAATAGTCCTGCATTTCCTCTGGCAAGACCCTGCCTCTCTCCCAGCACCATGTACAGGCCTTGTGCAGATGCCTTCAGGAAGGTTTCGAAAGGCTCCGCAGAAGGAACAGCCTTTTGACCTGCAAGTTCAGCGGCAGTGAGGACGAGATGGACTCGCTGTCCCAGAGGCTGGTTGGCCCAGAACCGGCAAGCGCAGACCTCTGCTTGGGCACACACAGGACTGGACTCCAAGGTGGAAAGAAAGCAGGGGCCGAGTGTTCGCAGTATTTACTTCCAAGGCCTTTTGGGCTTAATTTCAGTGTTAAATGCAGCGTGAGTGACAGCTGCGTTTTCTTGGGTGTGGAGAACTTGGACCACCTCGCAGCCCTGCCCTGTGCCCACAAATGTATGCCAGGGCCAGTGCGTGATCCCTGTTCGCAACAGCAACGCCATAGGGCATCTGTCCGTTCTATAACCATTATCACTTTACCCATTTCTGAACAACTGTGACCCTTCGGTAATGAAACAATAGTAATTAATTTATTAGTATGGTATAACCTTTAATAAATTTCGTGCCAAAATGCATGGTTTTTCACTTAGCATTCAAACTGTTGCGTAGAGAGTAGTTTTCAATTTCTTATGTATTCTTCAAAGTAAATTGAAAATCAGTTTCTACATTTTAATTCCTTTCTTGTTAAATATGTTGCACTCTCCTGGGCTGTCTTTTCTTCCAGCAGACCCCCTGCATGCAGTTGTGTAAGGACTTTCTCTAATTCCTGTAAAGTGTCTCACCTGCAATAACCACTGGACATCAGCCCTCCGGGGATTCTTTAGATTTTTGGTGAAGTATTTTGTTACCTCAGTCTTGTATCAAGTTGCTGTATTTTTCAGCTTGTTACACCAATAATAATTGTTTCACTAATTAAATACTTTAATGTACAAACACCTTTGTTTACTTTGAAATTAAATGTGTTTTCCAATGACTATTGCTCAATTCATTAAAGCCATGTGCATTTCACGTAGCAAACAGTTGCTGTGCCAGATACAGGCGTGAGGGACACGTGGGGCGCCCAGTTAAGAGGCACTGGAACATAAATGACATATAGGAGCACTGCCCTCAGGAAAGGACACTCAGAGGGAGGTGGGGCATCTGGGGGAACTTTAGAAGGCAGTGGACATTTGGAGATTGATTTCAGAGATCTCTGAACACAAGGGGGGCAGAGCAGGCAGGGAGACAGAAAGGCAAAGGAGGAAGATGAGGTTGGGGAAAGCAGCCAACCCAGTCTCACTGAGGAAAGGATCTGGGGGAGTAATAGGATCCAAGTCTGAAAAAATACGTTGCGGGGAGTTCATGAAGTTAGGCAAAGTCCAGAGGTCCACTCTGGCTTGCTTAAGAGAAAAAGGGGGACTGTCTTACAAGGTAGGGTGGGCTGTCTTACAAGGGTTGTCTCCTGGAAACTTTTTTTTTTTAAGATTTTTATTGGGGAATTGGGGGAAGGGGAACAGACATGTTGCTGTCCTTTTGTTCTTCAGTCTAGTTGTGGAGGATGTTGCTTCACTGGCCCAAGTTGGCACCATCATTGCGCTCTTNGCCCAGGTCAGCCTTCCTTGGGGTGTGGAGGATATGAGCCTCCTGGCTATGCTGTTGTTCTCTAGTATAAATCCACACCTGGCAAAAAGGTCTCCATCGTGGGCTGGATGGTGCAGCTGCCTGACGACCCCGAGCACCCGGATATCTTCCAGCTGAATAACCCTGACAAAGGTATAGGCAGCAGGCCCAGCACCAGGTGCCTGCAGCTCATCTCTACCCCGCTTCCTCTCCTGCTAAATGTGCACTTTGAAATAGTAGGAACTTCTGAGGTTGCTGCTTTCCCTTTGCTTTAGGGTCTGATGTTCACAGGGTCCCCTGACTAATCCATGAAAGCTGCTTAGATCGTGGTCAGTGCGTCCACGGAGCAGTGTGCATGGCATGAGGCTGCAGGAACCCTGTGTGGCCACCCTGGAGTAAATAATACAATGCTGGGTGGGGCCATGTGGCTGCCTGGGATGCCCTGACATTATCCGTGCCGTGAGACTCTGGCAGGCCCTGGTCCAAGGCCAAATCCGAGAGGAAGCCTTCCACAAAGGCTCCACCGTTCACATGCGCAGTCATCCCCCAGTTCCTCCTGGTTCTTCCCCATGACCGTGCTGGGAGGAAAGAGAGGCGCCATCTTGTCCAGGGTCCTGTCTGCACTGCCATTTGGAATGGGCCATGCCAATGTCCTCCGTAGCTCAAGTCACATGACAAAACCCCACGTTGCCCAGGTCTTGGGCTCTACCAGGCAAGCTCACCAGGGCTGTGAAGTCGCCGAGCATCTTCACACCTTCGTAGGAATGTTCTAGTGCAGATACGAATCAATAGGGACCTTGTTCATGGATTCAGTGGATCTGAGGTGGAGACCAAGAGTCTGCATTTCCAACAATCTCTCAGGCCAAACAGATGCTGCTGGTGGAGAGACCACACCTTGAGTGTCAGGGTTTTAATGCTTTTAGCGGGGAGGTAAAGAAACAGGAGCCTCAAGGTGCCCCAGGGATGGAGAGGCGAGGAGCGGAGTTCCTGGCTCTGTTTCCAAGTGACTGAACCCACGCACAGCTGCCCTCAGCCTGCTGCCATCGGAGTTTCTTCTCCAGGCTCTGAGGTGGATTCTTTAGCAAATAAAGGCTGTGCCTTCGCAAGCTTGACCTAAAGACCTCCTGGCCATGGGGGCCACAGGCCACCCTTGGGCCTCAGCCCAGAGGAAAGCACTGTCACCAATAGAGGGAAACGGGACACAGCGGGTGGCCAGGGTCATGGGTAGAATTCAAGGGGTCTGAGAAGTTAAGTGGGAAACAATTATGTCTTTGTTTTGCATGACCTCTAGTCCTTTAATTAGGAGCATTAAATGACCAGAATGTTCGCAATATCTGTGATTTTATCTCCAAGAGAAGCCACAGATGTTTTCATCTCACGAGTGGTCGCAGGCACTTCAGAATACCGTTCTGCTCCTCTCTGAAATTGCAGGGCAGCACAGACCTGCTCTGAGATCTTGTACATCAATAAGGAAGCACATGCTGAGCTCCATCACGCATTTGTTTCTGAGTAGTGTAATAACTGTGTTTCAGTGTTGATTTCTTTAATATGTCATTTTGTGTATTTGAAAACATTATTCTGAGAAAAGTCCCCAACCTTGACCAGAGCTAAAGACACCATGGGCCGGAAAATGGTCAAGAGCTCGGTGGGGTGGAGAGGGGGGTGGGCTGCCCTCTGCAGGCCCCCTGTGGGCCTTGGGCTGCTCCTGACCCTCTTTCATTTAGTCACCCACGTTCATGTTTATTTTCATGCCACAGTCACAGACCCTCCCCTGTGACCCTCTTCTTAACCAGTGGTTTCTCCCCCATCAGGCAATGTTTACAAGTTCCAGACTGGCTCTCGGTTCCATGCAATCCTGTGGCACAAGCATTTGGATGACGCATGTAAAAGCAACAGGCCTCAGGTAAAGTCCCCAAAATCCTACTTGTCACATGAAATACCCTCTCCCACCTTTGCGACAGGGCCCCTGCCTTCTGTCAGAGCCTGTCAGCTAAGTTCCCAGATACCCTCTTTTGATCAGCCTTTTCCCATGATTGAGGGCACCTGCTGCGTGGCTGAGAGCAGAGCCCGGCTTCAGACCGGAACTTTGCGTCTGGTCCCTGTGTTAGGTGGCAGGTGCCATATTGCCCCACAGTTCAGGCCACAGCATTTATTTAACCATCCCCCCCAAAGTTGGTTCATGGGAATATGCCAAACTGACTAACAGGCCTCCTGCCCCCCACCACCCATAGGAATAATAACAGTTAATGTATCGAGAGCCAACCATGGCTGCTGACGAATGGGACCCTGGTCTGCTGGGCCCGGCTTGTGGCTCAGCTCCCTCCCCCACCACAGCCGCTGCACCCAGGACCAGGTGTTACGCAAAATGCTTCACGTGCAGGAACCGGCTCAGTCCTCNCAGCTCCAGGTTGAGCTGTTGTTCAGCATCTTAGCTGTGGAGGGCAGTGTCACTGGCCCTCATATGTGGGATCCGAACCGGGGTCCTCTGGCGTCCCAAGCCAGTTCTTAACCATCGCACCCCTCGGCCGCCCTCCTGGAAACTTGAGGAGAGGACCAAAATGGAGTCTCAAGGGGCCAGAATGAGAAATGGAAAGCCCCTACATCTTTCTCCCTCCCTTTCATTCTCTCTGCAGACTGGCTTCTCTGCTGGGGGGTGCAGCAGCAAAGGAGTCCAGGCCTTATTAGGAAAGTAAGTCATTGAGGGAGTATGCACCAGGGAGGGACATGATCCAAGTTGATCATGAGAGCTCCTGGCCCTGCCTCAGTTTCCCAGCTCGTGACTTCCAAAGCTGCAGTGGCCGATTCTCCAAGGACAAGCTCCGCCACACATTCCTCAGACTCTGTTCCACCACCCCAGTTCCAGGCCACAATGGCCACACCTCCCTAGCCCAGACAAGCTCCACTAGCTGAGGGACCCTAGCTCACCTCAAGATTTAGATGGCACAGTGACACCTCCACACACACACACACACACTTTATCCAGATGGGGTAGCTGCCCTCAGCCCCGGTGCAGTGTTCCAGGGCTTTGAGACGGATGCATCTGACTTGGGAAGGAGGTGAGGATGGTAGGATGTGGTGGTTGTCACACAGCTGGACAGTGATGAAGGCAAGACTTAAACCCACGATTGGTAGCCTGCAAAGCTCCAGCCCTTCAGCCTCACTGCGTCAGGTGCCACGAACGACCACCAGGAGACAGCAGTACTTCCTCTTGGTGGATGGAGAGATCCGCGAGCTAACGCCAAGTTAGTGCTGTAGAATGCCCATTTAGCCTTAAAGATGGGCATGGAGCCCCTGCGCGTAGCCAGCCAGGGTGAGGCAAAATGGGCGGGGGCCACATGCGTGGGCGGGGCAAGATCGCGGGCGGGGCTTTGGGGGCGGGGCTGAGGAAAGAGCACTGTTGCCCCCGCAGGGTTGAGGAGGGCCGCGAGAGTGAGCGCAGTATGGGGGCTTTGGAGAGAAAAGGCGGAGCCGTGCCCGTGGGCGGGACACGGGAAAGGGCGGCTCTCAGAGGACACCATGCTACATTACAAAGCGTCGGGGGTTTCTGAGGTGTAGAGAAGCGACGTTCGAGGGAGCCGACCCTTGGGGTGAGTGCGGGGACCGCGCGGGATCTCTGTAGTGGAGGGGTAGGTGAGCTGGGCCTGGGTTAGTGCAAAGGGGCAAAGAGGAGGAGGGGCGGGGCCGTGGACAGTACACAACTGAGGACGGAATGGGCGCTTCGTGCGTGTACGCCAAGTAGAGGTGCGGAGAGCCTGCGCCGGGAACCGGGCTGGGACCGGGGCGGGATGGGCGTGGCTGGTGTGCGGGGCGGGTACGGGGCGAGGCACTGGCCGGGTTGA